GGTGTTGGTGTTGGTGTTGGTGGTGTTGGTGTTGTTGTCGTTCTTGTTGTTCTTGTTGTTCTGTTGTTGCTGTTGCTGCTGCTGCTGCTGCTGCTGCTGCTGCTGCTGCTGCTGCTGCTGCTGCTGCTGCTGCTGCTGCCACTCTTGTTGCTGTTGCCAAGACGCCCTTGCGAAGTGAAAGGGGCACATGCCAAAAAGTCGAATAAAAGAGTTATGGCTTTAGAATTTGTTCCTGGCAACTGGATCTTAAATCAAGACCTTGCATCCGAAACTACTGCTTCAGGGCTCTTCTACTGCGAAGTCCCCAAGCCTTAAACGCGAAGCTGTAAACCGTAGTTGTGCTGTTGGCAGGCTTGATGCTGGACTGACCGAGGTTTGCGTTGAGCGACGGCTTGGTGCTCAGACGCTGAAGGGAGTCAAGTCAACTCAAGTCAAGAGGGGAGCTTCAGAAGTTTGCCAAAGTCTTTCCTGCGTAGTCCCCGCAAAAGATGAAAAGCAAGAACGAAAGCTCCAATTTACTACCGAGCGGCGTTGTAAATCCTAATTTCGGCACGGATCACGACCGTTCAGAAGCTTCAAAGCCGCATCTCGGATCTTTTTGACTCAATCGCAAGGTAGCCTCAGCGGCCTTCAGCACAGTCCCTGCAAATCCGAAAAGCCGCAGCTTTAGTTACCGAATAAAGTGGAGATACGTTGTGAGTGGAAAAAAGCTTGGAAGACGAGCATCATCTGAAGTCAACCGAAAACTTGCACAAACCCGGTCCACCTTCGGACGTTCTTCGCGCCAGCTCTTTTTTGAGTTTAGACGTCTCTCAAACTTCGCGAATCGTCGTTTGGTCTATAAAGTTCTATGATCCCTGCTGTCACATTCTCAGAGCCTCCGAGTGCTCGGCTCTTTGCCTGCATTCACATGTCGTCTGGCTGGGCTGTTGAGTGTCGCACTGAAGCCTAGACTGCAAGATCTTCACTCCGGCACTCCTGATGCACTCCTAGATCCAGCGGCCGAGCAGATATCTATAGTAAAGCCAAGCACAATGTAATGTGCCCATGTCATGCATGACAAGGCTTACCTACCATGCTCCGGACAACAGCCTGCTTGGCAGCATCATGGCTAAGATTAAGCTCTCTCCCAAGCTGGTTCTGGGGTTCATAGCGCCGGTGGTCATATCGGGGCATGAGTTATTCGCAGTGCTGCGGGCATCGATTGAGGGTCCCTGCGCTTCTTCTCCGTTCCAAACACCTAGTACTCTAAACAGCAGAGCGAGCCAGTTAGTCCTGCAGTTTAGGGCTCCCCCAAACAATAACAAAGTCTAAACCTCCAGCGGTCCCCGGACGTTTGGCACAGCATAGGCGCTTGAATAATCAGTTTCGGTTTGGTTGGGAGGATCGTAGTACTGTGGTTACATTACGAAGGGAGCTGAAGAATGTGAAAGCACAGGGCGATAGACTAAGCGACATCTGAAGCAAGCCGGGAGCTTCAACCCGCGTTTCCCTCATCTTCCGTCATGTGCCGAGTCCAAAGACCCAACATGCTGCTACAGTCACGTCCATCAAAAATTCCATTGATGCCGCGTGGTGCTGTGTCGGACGATAACATTGCAGTACTAATCGGGGCTGCAATCGTGTGGCCTCTCCTCCTTGTGGATTTCCATTCTGTAGTGTGACCGCAAGCCGAGGTACTTTGGAGATATGCCACGGCGATTTTGAATGACATGGACTGCACCTCCTGGAAGGCAGACGCCTATCGATGGCAGGAGGCTGCAGGACTGACGATCCCGTCACTTGGAGATTGGAAATCAGTTTGGTTCGCCTCCCGTGGTAGTCTTACACCTTGGTATCATCACTTGTTAATATTGCCGCGACAACTACCGGTGGTGTTTGAGTTACTATAGTTGCCTTCAGGTATGTCGATGAAGGCATCGACGCATCTTGGCACAACCTGGGCTCAGAGGCCTTCGGAAGCGCATCTTGAGAGGTCGCTTTCTTGCTGTGGCAGACGTGCCGAAGCAGGGTTTAGGATTTGGAGCTAAGTGAACCCAGATGAACCCAGATGAATCCATGGTGTTCCTGGCAGGGCAAGGTCGCACCAAGTCGTAAGTCCGCCCTCTCAACTTTTGCCCAAGAGCTTCTGCCGTCTTTGCAATGCAGCCTACTTGGCGCCCTCTAAAACTCCAGAAGCCCCGGACGAGCTCGAAAACCCTCATCCTCCAAACCCTAAACCGGTAAGGAGAAACACAGCCCGTTCATCGTGCTCAATGCCACGCATGCCAAGGTCTGGGGCATGTCACGTTGTTGCCGATGGTAGCTTACTAAGTTACTGCAATCACGAGTTTGAATGGGCCGAAGCTTTCTGCTAACGCCTCTAGTTGGGGCTTGGCTGCCTGTGCCTGATACTGGAGCAGCTACTTCAACACGCCGGAATCTCACGTGCTTCCACGTGCCTCTGCGGGCAGTGGTAGCAACAACAGCAAACTGGCCTTCATTGAGGATATCAATCGTGATTGTAGCACGGGTTACTGTCACTATGATACTGCAACACACTGGGGTTCCAGTATAAAAACTCAGGGCAGTGGTACACCCTGTGAGGTCGTGGTGGGCAAGGGAGCTGTAACTGGAGATCCGAACGACCTGGTCCATCCGATCCGTGGGCTTTATTACACATAAGAACAGATATTAATTCAGCACTTCTTTGCGTTTGGGGCTTCAGGAGTTGTTCTTTCTTGGCTTACGCTCTTGGGTCTTTGAAGAGGTCCTCTAAGAGGGTCCAAGCCCAAGCGGTCATGATAGAGTTTGGGGCTTCAGAATTCTTCAGTGTCGGGTTGCATTGGGCTACACAGAGAGCCCAGTGTAAGACCTAAGTGACACAGGGCCGTTCGGGGCTTCAGAGTTGCGACTTCTGGGTTACATCATAACAACGGACCATCAAGTGGGAGCGAAATAGAGAAAGTAAGGATGGTGGATGATCCCGACGTCATCCACTTCATCCAACTCATCTGGGTGGAAGACCAATCTGGCCATGAAGCAGCAAATGGGGACTTCTCGAAATTTAGGTTTGATTTCAAAGATTCTAGGGGTCTTCGTGATAGGGAAAGCGCCTATCGGGGGTTCTACATTGAGGCCCCTGGTCTGATTTTCTTTTAAATGGAGGCAGGGCTATAGGAAGGCAAGGATTGAGTGTGCCCCTGAGCCATAACGCAACTTCAAGATCTGCGGTTCAAGCCTTTGGTGACGTCATGTGATTCAGGGGGCTTCCGAGCGTAGACGGCAAAATCGAGGCAATCTGGTCTCGATGCGTCATTTGTCTCCAGCGGAGCCAGCTCCTGCCACGAACCTTGTTTGACATCAGAGCCAGGCCGACGCGGCCGTGTCAAGAAGAAACTGTCGGTGCCATGGGGAGATTGCCTGTGCAAGTATAGTGGTAGCAATCCTGAAACGCAGTGCTGCTGCTGGTCGTAATCGTAGTCGCGGTGTTTTGCTCTAACACCCCCTTGGGCCTCAGGCCTACTGCCCTCGCTCAGGATGTACTTCGAGATACCGACGGGCACTACGAGCCTGCGTGCCTTCGAGCTTTGTGCCCTTGCTTGATTTCATTTTTGCGTTTTTCTTTCGGGCACCCAAACGATGCCAGGCAATCTGCATGGCCTCTACCGCAGTCCAGCCGTGTCCGTCGCCTCCGGACAAACCTCCGCCTCCGCCGCTGCTGCCTGCTCTGTACAACAGTGCTCAGAAGGGACCTCGGCAACTTATCGGCAAGGGCATTCACGACTTGGGGGGCGTTTGCAGGATTTGTATATGTTCTCCTAATGCCCATGTAGATTCCTAAGCCGACCATACACACTTGGCAAGTACTTACACAGTTGAGAACTAAGCTGCGAGCCTTACCTAACACATCTTCCAAAGCAGCACCAGGCGTGTTGAGCCGGTGTCCTAAACTGAAGACTAGGACCTGGGATTGAAGCGTATTGGTTGTGCGAAAAGAAAAAAAGCTGAAGACTTGAGACCTTCACCGTGGTTCTGAAGCTGCTTACTACAGAGCATGGCGGCAGTTAACATAGAGTCAAAGTTTAGACGAGCTTACATCACTACTAACTACTACTGTTGCCATCACCCCATCGTATTACGAGCATCGTCGTTAGCTAGCTTTGTTATCGGAAATGAAAGGTCACAAGATTTCGCCTCGGAACGCACTCACTTGGATGATCATGGGGATGGCAGTGGTGGTGATGATATTTAGAACCTTTGCCCTAGTCCGTACTTCTCGATCATCATCCGTGGGTCCTGCCCTGGAGTATCCGAGAGGTGGCACACACAGGAAATCCTAATCCCTCATCCACGACCTCAGGCTGACGCAGGCTCTTAGCCAAGAGTAAAGACCAATGCCCCCAACCCGACACGCGCCCCAATGAGAACCTGCAATCTTCAAGCACCCATCAAAATGAAGAGCTCTTTCCGAACCTGCAGCAACTTAGCCGTGTGACTTTGTGTAGAGCAACTTTTTTCGTGGACAACTATTTGCACACACAAGGCTGCTCTAATCATTTCGGCTCTCAAGAACGATTGCTTTGAGCGGCAAGGTCTCCAACTGCCAGGCCTTCGCTGGCGAGCTGATGCGAAGAGAGGATTATCAGCCCAAGACGGACCCCACAGGCACAGTTCAGAGTTTCTGACGCTTGCTTTGTTGGGATCGCTGACGTTTAGCGGCAGACCCAGGGTTTCCTAAGGGCCTTGCTGTCCCCTGGACCGAAATTCGAAACCGCAAGCCCTGTACGTTCCCCCCCATCCTGGTGCCCTGAGGCAAGCACACGCCTTTCCTGATGGTGAACGGTACGACTGCGACCATCGTGGTCGGCGTCGGCGGCACCCCAGGCGCCTGGACTTGAGACATCAGCTTTGGGCAAGAGGCATAAGAGCCTGGAAGCGGGCACAACTTCTCTGCGTCACCGAGAGCACCGAGCAGGCAAACGGAGCCAGCTGTTGGGGGTGAACCCTCAACAGCCCTCCGAATTCTCAACATCCAAACCGAAGCACGCAAAAAAGAATAAAGTTCCGAGCCCTATACAGCCCTGGCCTGACCCTTAGGCGACCACGTCCTGCTTAGTATTCGATAACGTGATACTGATGGGCCCTAACAAAGACCCTAAACTGTAGGATCCTCATTCATTTGAATCAGGTGCCTCTGATTTTAAGGAACCTGCCGGTGCCTGAGCCAAGGAAACGAAGGCGGCTTGGTTCACCCCATGACGCCCTCGGAGGACAAAGACTTCGCCCACTGGATTTCGCACATCTACGCGCCGAGTCTTTGCAGTGGGGTTTAGGCATTTACATTGGAATTTTTGGAGTTGGCGCCGGGGTAGAGTGGAGGGGGTTTGGGTGATTCCCGGAGCTCTATAGAGCTGACGGGCCCAAGTCGTTGTTTTTTTGGGGGCTGCCAGAATCAGAGGCTAGTCTCCCTTAAAATTACCCTCAAACCCCCAAGCCCTACAATTTACCCAAGCTTCCGAACAGCCCAAAACCCCTGAACTGTTCTAAGCCCTTTGACCTTATGTTGGAAGGCCCCCAAGCTTTTTTCTCCTGTTTTAAGAGGCCAGGAAGAATTTTTTTACTGGAAAGGCAGTGGACGACTTGGGGAACCTGGTGGCGATGTGCGAGCTTTTGCCAACAGACCCAGCTCCCGGACCGTTCTTTAGATTTGCGGGTAGGACCGGTAGGACGCAAGGTTCGGCGTTTAGGGTTTCGGGGAGTCCAGGCGTTTTTGTTTTACAATTGGATTCTTGGATTGACAGGTGGCTTAGGGGTTCATTGGCTTGGACTACCTATCCTTTGAGAAATCTGTGAACCCACTTGGGCGTCTCAGTGCAACCCGCACAAGGCGCGCGAGTTCACAAAGCCCAGTAATTGTGAAAAGCTGCGTGGAACGAACCAAACGTTATCGCTCAAGACCCGAAGCTGAGGTTCCGGCGTCCTGCACTTTCCAGGCGCCCGTATCAAGTTTCGACCGAGAAGAGCAGGATATACGCGGGCGGCCATATGTGGCTGTTGGTATAGTAGCGAGGGCGGGCAACAGCAACATCATCATGCCATCATTGTTATCATCTTCTTCTGCTCCTGCCGCCACCGCCACTACCGCCACCAGCACCACAACCACCATTGCGCTTAAACTCTTAAAGCATCCAGTTCTAGACAAAACAAGAGCTGGTTGACGTCCTCGTGGCAGGTCCCCGAGAACATCCCCTTTCTCAGGCGGAGAGCTGCAAATGTCTGAGCTGTCATGTTTTTAAGGGTAGCACCAGTACGAGCAAACTTCGGTCCGGCGCACAGCGGCCTAGAGGGTAGCGGATACTTATCCTATCCTATCTGCTGCTTGTTATGTGCCCGAACCCCGCGAGAAGGCCCTACGAGTTCTGCAATGTGCACGGTTTGTACATCGGCGACCTCGTGCAGGCTGGGTTTGAAACCTATAACACTAGAAATGTCGACGACGAAGCGTACCGGAGAGACAAGCAGCGTCGGTGAAACATTGCGGGGATGGTACGAACAGTGCTGCATCGGTGATAGGCACCGACCGATTGGCGGCTTGAAGCAAATGATCTGGTGACGGCGAAATCTGTCGAACATTCGCCCGGTACCAGACACTCACTCAGCAGGATGCTACAGGAAATCCTGCCTTGCCACAGGCCACAGGGTCATCGTCACCCGATCCATCCGCGTTCTGACTCCAAGAAAGGATTGTGCCCGACCCGTTTGCATTAGCGCGAGCGAGCACTGGAGCGCCAATGCTGCAGCCCACCGTCAGATGTAAACGCCAACATGCGGCGTTCCTGAGCGCCGACCGTCGGGCTGCATTCGGATCTTCTGCCGTCGTCTCGCGAGGCCGTTTTCTGTTTGACACTGCGACTGCACCGTGCCAGGACGAACGAACTCGTTTTCATCTGTTACGATACAACGCAGTCCAGGCTGCGCTCTGCCAAAGAATTGTGGCCGCGGATGCCTCTCTCTCTCTCACACTCACTTGTCCCTTCTCGAGCTCGTGGCTGCTTTCCGAGTCCAGCTCTCACTGTCGATAATTGCGGACCTTCGCATAGGAAGGTCGGTTTCACTTGATTGGCGGTGTCCGTTACGGTGACCGCAAATGCAGTCCTCAGATCTTGCGCCGCAGACCCGCTGCTCTTCCCGTTCATACTACTTCCTCACACAGTCGACACACGCATGGTGCGTTGGAACGGAACCTGTGACTCCGCAGTCTGTCGGCAGGGCACCGCCTCAAACCCGCCATGCTTGCTTGCGCCCTGCAGTGTGGCCGAGGACCAAGTCTAAGTACTGGCAGTCAGCATTTGCCGTTGGTGTCACGCGCCTCGCCGATCGAAACGATTCGCCGTGAGGAGTTGTTACTAGTGTTTTCGGGCCGTTCTGCAACCCTGCGTAAACATGCGTAAACGTTTGCCAAGATGGAGATTATTGTTAGCCCTCTGTCAGAGACACATTTGGCGCCGGCATCTGTCAATCTGCAGTCCTTCGTACATTTCCTGGACGTATTGGCCAGTGGAGCGACGTTGGATCGTGGCAAGGGTCGCTGTGTTACGGCTAAAGGTGTTGTTGCGCGCTACGGTTGGAATCCCTTCTGGAAAGATTTGCTTTGGCGCTCATGCGACCGCAACACGTTTATGTCGCCTTATAAGCCAAGCGGGGCGAACCGCTAACTGTCCAAAGCAGCCCGCATGCCGGCAAGCGCGGTAGACTTTGAAGATGCCTGCCGGCTCGCTGAGCCGCTGCAGCCCTTCTGCAGTGCCGTAGCTCGCAGGTGCACTGGGACACCGCGTGGATCGCCCGAAAGGTCCGTGAAAAAAAAGTTCTCAGTCGCCGCGATTGGTCGCGGGCCTCAGGGCGGCAGATGCGCCCGGTGCCTGCCTTCCCAAAGCACGCCGCCATCTGGTGGCACAATCGAGTGCAGGCACACCGCTTTTGTAATACCACCACGTCGACAAGCCAGGGGCCTGGCTTGCGAAAGTTTCCAATTCCACAGCTTCCACTTCACTATCCAGCTCGGACAGATCGTCGCCTGCACGAGCACGATGATGCCATATCCCCGACGTGTTCAAGTGTTGCGTTGTCATCGCTCTCGTTTGTTGAAGCCATCGCAATCCACCATAGGTTGCGGTCCGGGCGAGGGCCAGCCGCTTGACACTTCGTCGTGCAAGGACTAAGCGCACCCAGCCCTTCAGGATGGTCATGGATGGTCTCCTGGCACGCCAACCGTGGCAACACGTCATCACGCTTGTATTTCTCAACCGATTGAGTGATGGTGTGGGCACGCCGTTGCTTTTGCGCGGCCGTCTTCCCATGGTCAGTGCCAGGTTTGAAAGCAAACAAAGGGATATATACCGTAGAGTCCAGCCGTCTCTGCATCCAAATCCGTGCAAGAGAACAAACAGCGTCATAATGTACCACCGCGGCGACGTATAATCGCGCCTCACATTTGCCCCCACGCAGACGAACGATCTCTTCCGCAAGCATGTGGCCCCAGTCAAAGCCACTGCCATTGTATCGCTGCGTATCGCTGCACATCGTCCCATTTCAGTCCGGCCCACACCATGAGGAGACGCCACAACATCGGCCACCAATCCCCCGGCTTGCAGGTCCCCCGCGCATGCTCCAACTGGACCACCCAGGGGGTTGGATGGAGGGTATGGTTGGATGGGGTTTTCTTGGATGGAATTGGGTTCCTGGCTGGATGCAGGATGCGTGCATGAGGGGTCTTATAGGGAGGGCAGGCGCGGTCGGGAGGGGGGTGTTGGATGGAGTGCCTAGCTGTATGGAGGGCAGGCTGGTATGGATGGAGGGGGAGCGGTGGGGGTGGATGGATGGAGGGGGGGATGGAGGGGCAGGCAGGTTGGATGTGGTGGATGGAGGCGGGTGCGGATGCGAAGCGCCTCCATCCAACCCCACTCCATCCAAGTGCCTGCCCTCGATACAGCCAGCCCTCCATCCAACCCCCTCCCTGTCCAAGCTGGAATCTTCGTCGGCAAGGCTGGAATCTTCGTGGGCAAGGCTTGACACACATACACCGGCATGGACCACTGATTGACGCTCATGGGGCCGCAATGCTGTTTGCATGCTTGGGCCAATGCTCGAAGGTTCAATACCGTTCAATGATGGTTAAAGAAAAATTACCACCTGTTGGGACATGTCCTGGCGGCTAAACGTAGTGCCAGGGACCCGAGCGAGTGCGGTGTGGCCGACCGCTGCCGACCACGCCGCCTCTGCAAGGGTTCGCACGCTTGCCATGGCTCGGTGCGCAAACATGGGGGGCCTGCGCTTCAGCAGCCGAAGTCGCAAACGTTGCGCGGCTTCGGGCCACTGCTTCGGGATGGAACACGCCATCGTGCGCAAGAGGCGAAACGAGGGTCGCATCACCGCTGGCCGGATGACGAGGTCAGCTGCTCCACTTTGTTCCCGGCGATGCCGATCCCCTGCCCCAACCCGCCGCCGCTCGTGCCAACTTGTGTTTGCGCCACGGCAGACTTGGTCTCCGCAGCCGAGCATGCGCCTGCGCGTACTTTGCATCCTGGGCTGACTCGCTTGGGGCGCTCCGTGTCCGTGAGCCTGACTCTTGTCACGTCGTTGCTCGCTTACTTGATGACGTCTGCCCGCCTGCCTGCACTTGCCCTGGTCTACTGGTTGCCCCCCCTGCCCGCCCTGCCTGCCCTGTGCCCTGCCGGGTTTAGGGTTTAGGGTGAGTTACAGTGGGGTTGAGGTCAGGGTTGGGTTTAGGGTTTAGGGCTAAGTTTAAAATTCAGTGCTTATTTGATAGAGGTGGTTCATCGGTTTTATCAGAGCTGTGTCAGGCTTGAAAAGCTAGGTCTTTGGGGTTGAAGGCAGGGTTTACGTGTGTGTGTACGGCTCTAAACCCAAAACCCTGAATCCAAAGGTTTGAACCACTTACCGCACTCCCAGAACGCACGACCATACGACACACCGACAGCGGGAGTCCTTCACTACAGGCTGCGAGACAGTTTCAAGTTGGAAACGGGGGTTTCGAGTTTAGGGTTTGGGCTTATACGGCTTCGGAGAGTGGTGCTGCGAGCTTAGGGCTTAGCGGACTTGTGGTCCGTCTAGAGCATCGGGAGAATTTCTGCGCTGCGCTGCGCTGCGCTGCGCTGCCCTGCCCTGCGCTGCCCTGCGCTGCCCTGCCCTGCCCTGCCCTGCCCTGCCCTGCCCTGCCTTGCCCTGCCTGCTCCGCTCCCCTTCCCTGGGCTGGGCTGGGCTGGGCTGGGCTGGGCTGGGCTGGGCTGGGCTGGGCTGGGCTGGGCTGGG